GGAGGTCCTCTGGGCCGAGTTGGCCTCAAGTCTCAGTGCTGGCTTCTGGAGCCAAAGTGGGCAGTTCTCCATTTAGAGAATCTCCAGTGGTCTAGTGCCTCCTGTTATGGAATTAGTGGATCAATCAGATTAGAAGTGCAGTTGGGATTATTTAAACAAAGTGTTCTCAGTGATCAGGCAAGTGGAAAATATGCTGCTTGACTTTCTTAGGGTTTGTGGTAGACGCGGTGGGAGCCGATTCATAAAGCAGGAAACACCACAGAGCCCTTGCGCTGAGGTCTCGGGTGGCATTGTGTCAGCAGACGCCATGCCCAGCAGCCTTCTAGCACTGTGCATGCCTCAAAAGAGCTAAGACTTAAAGTGCTGGGTACTAGAAAATATGAAAATATTTTATTACTTGAATAATAAATTATTATATTTGCTGATTGTATTTAGTTCAATTGTTAGAGCACTTTATCGTTGTATAATTCAGCTTTGTTTTTAGTCAGTGGACTTTCCTGAAAAGTCCCCCCCTGTGGGGTTATCATTTGACTTCATTAAATTTTTTTTTAAGTACTGGATTTTAAACTCAGGGATTTCGTATGGAGCTATATTCCACCGTAGCTAACAGTCTGTCTGTCTCTGTCTCTCTGTGTCAGTGTCTGTGTCTCTGTGTCTCTCTCTGTTGTCTCTCTGTCTCTGTCTGTCTCTTTGTCTCTCTCTGTCTATCTCTGTCTCTGTCTCTCTCTGTTGTCTCTCTGTGTCTGTCTCTGTCTCTGTCTCTGTCTGTCTCTATCTCTGTCTCTGTCTCTGTGTCTCTCTCTGTCTTTGTCTCTCTGTCTCTGTCTGTGGGAGGCTGAGGCAGGAGGATTGTTGCAAATTTGAGACCAACCTGGGCTACAAAGTGAGCTCAAGACCAACCTGAACTGCATAGTAGCAAGACTCTGTCTCAAAAAGACAAATGAATAAACAAAATTTTAGAAGCCACAGCTAAAATTTAATTGTGCTTTTATGTGTGTGTGTATGGGGGGAGTACCAATGATTGAACTCAGGACCCTGTGCCTGCCAGGCAGTAATTGTGATTATGTTTTCATAACCCCAGATTTAGTATTTTTGTGGTTCAGGATTTTTAAAAAATTTTAATTTTCAATTATGTAGGTACTCAGAACCTTGTGTTTGCCAGGCAGGTGTTTATGCCGTTGAGCTATCTCCCTGGCTGGTTCAAGGTATTTGTAACAAATCTAGCAACCCTCTGTGCCTGTAAGCTAAAACATTATACTTCTTTTAATGCACTGAATTATTATTTTTTATTCTCTTACCATATTTGGCGGGTGCAGGGTTTCACTGTGCAGCACAGACTTGTGGTGGTCCTCCTGCTTTCGGCCTCCCAGCGCTGTGATTGCAGACGTTCACCACCACACCCAGCTCTCAGATGTGGCTTTTAGAGACAGCTGCACACCCACATCTTTCAGGCTTGAGTATAAAGTAAATGTGAGTGATTTAGTGGTTTGGGATAAATAGAGCACTTTTCCATGGGGGAAAGTACTATAAATGAAAAAATAAAACTTGTAAGTAGACCGTATTAATTCATGTAGTGGCTGACTAGTTCGGCACACGTGATGACAGCTGTAGAGCAGTGCTGCTGCCCTCCAGGTGAGTCAGTGGGCAAATAAAAGGCTGCGAGGAGTAACGGCCGGCGTAGCGTCTGCAGCTGAAGAAGCTGGCAGAAACCCTACAGCTACGAGTAGGGCCTGCTGGAACTGTGGGTGCTTAAAGGCTAGAAGGGTAGCTGACTGGTTTCTGAAATTACAAAATACTCTACCTGCTTGTCCTCAGTGCTGAAATCATGGAGACCACGTGGTAGTCATTCTGAGCAACTATGCCTGTGGCTTGGGGGCTTTCTTTTTCTTTTTTTGTCATTTGCAGATGTTTGTGCTTCCCCACAAAAGTTCTTATTTTCTTTAGTTTTAAAAAACTACCCAGGGGCTGGTGAGATGGCTCAGTGGTCTAAAGCACCTACTTAGAACAAGCTTAGCAAAGCACAGGGACCGCGGTTCAATCCCCCAGCACCACATGCCAGCCAGCCCCGCCTCCTGGTGGGCTGAGCTGGCCACACACACACACACACACACACACACATATACATACATAAATAAAATTTAAAAAAAGAAAAAAAAAAATACCCAGGGGCCAGTGAGATAGCTCAGTGGTCTAACGCGCCTGCTTAGGCGCACCCAGGCAAGCACAGGGACTGGGTTCACTCCTCCCCTCCAGGAGCAGAGGTGACCCGGGCAGCAGATGAAATGAGTGCAGTTTCTTTACCCTACTCCTATAGCTATGTGCTGTTTTGATTTTGGCTTATTAAACGAGTTATGGTGGGTTTCAGTGTGGCTGGGGTCCAGGATTTTGTACTTTTATTTTTCTGAGCTAAAGTTTACAAATAATTTAGCAAAAACCTTCTGAAAGGATAATATGCTTTCTTCCTTGCTTTGTCCCCCACCCAAAATAATCAAAGACGTAGAAGTCATAACTGTGAGACATCTATGCAGCACCCTTGGGTGGATGAAGCAGTACGCACGACTGAGGGATTTACATGTCAGTCGCTACTTGGGTATGGCTTGGAGAAGATCTAGTCCTACGGAAGTGCATTCTTGGTGTTGAGAGGACTTTAAACAGTCACTTCACGAGCCTCTGCCTAGGCAGGAAAGGCCATCTGAACACGGCTGTTCGCATCTGCGCCCTGCCTGGGGCTTCTGGTCGAAGCTCCGGACGGCTCTCAGTCTGATCGTGGTCTGCTTTGTTGGAAGCACTCCCTGGCTCCCTGTTGCCCCTGGAAAGCCCAGAAGCTTGGGGCGGTGCTCGTCTCATTCTCTGGGGTCACCCGCACCTAGCAGGAGTGCAGAGGCTGCTTGGCCGCCGCCTGGCGGTGCTGAGGCCCACACGCAGGAACAGCAGGGCCCGCCCCGCCTCCGCCCGGCTGCGCCCTTGCCAGAGCTGCCCGCGCCCCGATACCCACATGCGGGGCTCCTCAGAGTGCCCCTCCTCGCCATTCTGTGGCTCCACTCACACGGTGGCGTGTGCTACTGCTGGCCCTTCAGCCTGAGCTGCCACTGCCGCCTCTGCAATCCTCCTGACTCAGCCTTGTTTGGATAGTTGGAGGTTTATAGAATCCCTTGAGTTGTTCTTTTGTGGAAAAGCATGACTGTGTGATACTCCTCAGTTCTGAGGTTCATTTTTAAATGGCAAGTAGATTTTCTTGGGCTGGACAAAGTCCATACTGAAGAGTAATATTGACTGTGAGAATAAATAATTGTAATTGAATTGATTTGGTCAAAAGTGGAAAAAGATGAAGAATTGTTGGCTAAGGTCCTAAAGCTCACATGACTTGGAGAGAGCTGTACTGTGGAATCGAGAGAGATAGAGAAATACACTTTTGTTGGTGCTTCCTGAAATATTTAAAGGAGAGAGAAATGGAGAAAAGAGAACTATTTTTGTGCATGAATCTAAGTCTTTCCTGGCAGACTGCTCTTTTCTTTTTTAAATTTTTATTTATTTATTTGATACAGGGTCTCTCTACACAGCTCAGACTCAAAATGATCCTCCTGCCTCAGCCTCCCTAATTCTGAGATTACAGTTGTGAGCCACCCCACCCAGATTTGGGGCTGGCATCGTGTGCCTGGCATTCTGTGGCCAGCATGGTATGCAGTGCCGGGGATCAAATGTGGGTCCTTGCATTTGCCAGACAGGCACTTGGACTGCTGAGCTAGTTCCCCAGCCCTGGGAGACTGTTTTTAAGGCCTGAATGGTTCCCGCTGCCAGAGGATGGGGGCTCCTTATGTGGACCAAGTGTCTCTGGGTGAGTAGAACACATGTCCCATTTTTACTCCAAGTTCTGTGACCCTGAGAAGTTCTCTCTCATGGATGTGTTTCCCTAATGGTAGGCGAAGGCCCTAGTACTTGGCTGTTAGATTAGTTGATGTGTACAAGATGTGCAGGAAGTGGATCCCCTTCCTTTCTCCATGGCTTGGTGGTTAAGGCTAGTTTTAAAAAAATGAGCTGTAGCATTATTAGTAGACTTCATTATGCTGTGGATGGGTAGTTGAGAAATCAGGGTCCACTTGATGAATTCCTTTACAGGTCCTCTGATGTACATACTTCTTCTCAGTTCATTTAGGCTGCATCAGCCACAGACTGTAAAAGTGATACTTCAGTATACCCACACGTTGCGGAGTGGTGATTGATGCCACTCTGCACATTGAATGGTGAATGTGGGTTGTGTGACATAATGCATTGTGATTGTGTAAACATGAGTTATACTACTGAACAGACATTCCTAAGTATTCACTGAGTATCTGATTAAGGAAAAGGAACAGAAAGAAAAACCAGGCATACTCTCATCTGAGAAGGCAGAATTCTAAATTTAGATATATGAAATAACCACAGAGAATATGATATAAAGTTGATCGTTCAAATATTTAATATATTGCAGCTCTCGAATGAGTTTTAAGTCATTGAGAAAACCTTTGCCAAAGCAAAATCATGCCTGTGGAGACGCAAGTGTTTCTGCTATACTTCTGATGGGTTTGTGATTTTTGTTATAGTTGCTAAGAGACAGGAATTTTATTACAGAAACGTCATTCTTCGTGGTGCTTTCGGCCCCCGTTTCTGAGGCCACTGTAGAGTCGCACTCTGTCTCCCTGCACAGCTGAGCTAGTAAGCAGAACGAATTCTGTGTGGAGTGACATCGAGGCCAGAGGAAGGCATCCTGGCTAGGCGGGGCAAGGCCCACTGGGCAGGCGCTGGGAAGGGGAAGTGGTCTTGGAGACGAAGCAACCACACTTTGCTCCGCTCAGTCTCAGCAGCCATGCAGTTGTGAGGCTTTGAAGTGGCTGCTGCGGCTCACACGACATGGTCTTTCTGTGCTGTTTCCTGCTTGTGCTTGCCAGCAGAAGAGCCAAGGATAATCGCTGCATGAACGCACTGGGTGTCCCCACCACTTCTCTGAGCACACACTGCTGCAGACAGGCAGCAGTGGAGAGGAAGAAAGGCCGCATGGGGACATCTTCCAGGGTAAGAGCAGATTTTACACCAGACAAGTAGGATTCTGCGCCACTTGTGAGCACAAATGTGGAAACTGGTTTTGTTTCACATTTAAAGATTAAGAAGGAGGTTGGAAAGGAGGATGAGCAGTGGCTTATTACTTTTGATTGGATCTAGAAAGATGTGCTGTTTTAGGAAGAGACAAGGACATTTGGGGGTAACTTTAGGATACTTTAAAGACTGGAGAAAACTTCCCTTCCTGGGTTTTCCTTTTGAACGGCCTGCGCCTCCCTTCATGTTTCTGAGTGTGCCACGGTCCAGATTCCTCCTTAACCCCCACCGTGTGAGTCCTTCCTCCCCACGTGCGCAGTCCATGTGTTAGCTCTTCCTGATCTGGTCTTGAGAAGCCGCCCTGGTGGTACTCACCTCTTTGGGGGACACTGTCCATCCACAGGACAGAAGCTGAGGGGCGGTGAGCGCTGTGCTTCAGTGGACGTGGGGCTGAGGAGGTTGGGGGTCATGGGTGCTGCTGCCCTGGATGCCCACCGTGCCATGACTGTTCCCTCCTCCTCACGGGAGCAGAAGTCCGCTTCTTTCTTGAGCTTCCATGGATGGCCTGTGTGGATCTAGGCCCAGACAGTCTCCAGCCTGCCTGGCAGGATCCAACCAGCTCCTCTGAGCCTCCTCCAGGTGGGCTTGCAGTGCCAGGAGCTGGGCTATAGCTGGCTTGAGGTCTGTGCCAGAGTGCAGAGGTGGGCTGGGTACTCGAGTGTGTGTGTGTGTGTGTGTGTGTGTGTGTGTGTGTGTGGTCACCAGGTGCAGTGTGCAGGTGTATGTGTGAAGGTGTGCGTGTGTGCATGTGCAAGTATGGGTATGTGCAGGGGTGTATGTGCTGCACACCACACCTCCTAAGTCCCGACCCTGCCTTTGTCCTGCTGTGGAGGAGAGGATGGCTCTGGGCTTCCCCAGGCTCAGCCTCCCGCCCTCTGGAGCAGGGATCCATGTCCTGTGACTAGGATATGTTTTGACTTCTGTGTACTTTCTGTGCACCATATAAAGACAATTGAAGCTGAGTGTGGCGTGTCGCGGTTCTTCACACCTTATCCGGGCCTTGGGCCTTTGTGTGCAGTGTGCTCCGTTCGGAGGTGAGGCGAGTGGCCCAGTGTGGGCTGACCTGCGTCTTCCTACTGTCCAGGCTTGTGTGTCCAAGAAAGAAGCAAGACATAGGCCCGCTCCCTGTGTGGAGCTGGTGGACCAAGGGCACTGGTGTCTGTGGGACCAGAGTGGACTCCAGAGGAAGGGTCGCCAGTACTTGCAGAAAAGTCTGCAAGCCGTGTGTGGCTGGCTTCGTGCGGCATTTCATGTTCTTTGTCCTCTGTGCTTTGGGGACCTTTTAGACATCTTTAATTTCCCATGCCAGAGCCCACCTGCTTTGAGCTGTATTTCTCCATCTTGGAGGGGGACAGAGCCTCAAGCCCTGGCCCACCCCAAAAGTGAGTCCCTGGGGTGGCGTGTAAGCACAGCTGCAGGGGATGCAGCCTTTGTGTCTTGCTGCCTCCACTCACCAAGATGCACTTGGGATTTTTTTACTTTTTTAAAATTAATTTTATTGAGAAACAGCAATGAGATAGTTTCAAAACCGATTAATAGGACAGTTTGAATAATTAATATAACACTTGGGGTTTGTATGTGCTGTGCATCAGCAGCTTTTCTTCTTTATTGCTGAGTACTCCAGTGCACAGATTTAGCACAGTGTATCCATTGCCACTTGAAGGCCATTTCCTCGCTCCCCAATTTGGGGTCATGAGTAAAGCCTCTCTGAGCTCTTGCACACCTGTTGTGTGAATGCAGGTTTCGTACCTTTTGAGTACGTATTTAGCCAGGAGGGGTGTGCAGTGTGCACCTGTGTAGCTCCAGATGGCTTTCCAAGGGACTCCAGCCCCTTCACACCGTGGCCATGAGGGCTCAGGGCGGCGCACACACTGCACTGTGGTCTTCTGAGGCTTCGTCTGCCCCGCCTGGTGGGTGTGCTGGTGTCCTGTGTGCTGTGGTGTGTTTCCCTGCAAGCGAGGAGGGGACAGGTTCTCAGGGCTACTCTTCACTGGGTTGTTTCCTAATGGTCACATTTTGAGAGAGATGGAAATATCCCACTGAGATCTTCTGCCTGTGCTTTGCTTTCTGGGGTTTCTGTTCTTGTTCCCTTGATGATATTTTTTCTTTTACGCCATGACCATTTAATTCAGATCACAAAACTTGAGATGCACACCTAACACATAACCTTCTTACATGCACTGACTTTAAATGCTGGAAGTTTTTAGAATGAGAGGTCTGTGTGGCCGAGTACCCACTCTTTAGTGCAAAGACTGATGTTTGCTTTTTCAAATGGATCAATCTCACTAACACATAAACCCTTAGCAGACCCCTAATAAAAGACCAATTTGTAAAACTGGGCCATTTTAATGTTTTTATAGTTTAACAAATAGCTTTCTTGATGAATGTAGTCATGACAGCTGTTCAGCAGTATTCAAGTTACGGTTTTCCTGAATGGTCTGCAGTCTTCATTAAGTGTAAGGAGTCGCTTGTCAAGCTAGTAGGACTGCCTTGATGCAGCCATCATTTGCAGGACTGTTGGTCACCGGGGCATATTTACCCCAGATAACCTCGCTTCCTTGTGTCACAAGGCCCAGCTCGCTCACGTTCACTTCAGTCACTGTTCCTTTGGTAATCACACCCAAAGTTGTATACAGTAGTGATGAAGGATTTTTTCTCACACCAAGTATCGGCAGGCAAAAGGTGGTTTTCAGTTCAGGATGTGTTACATGGGCCTTCTTAAAACGTAAGCCCATTGGCCTAATGAATATTCCATATTTAGGTGGTTTTCTTGTAAAGCCATCTCCAACAAAGCAGACTTTAGTGACCATCCTCTTCCATGCCTTCTGTTTTCTCTTTCCAGTTCAAATAACTTTTAATACTCCCATCTCTCCTCGGGCATGAACTTTGGGCAGAGGAACGTCCCATTTTCCTGCCCCCCCTTTTTTTTCATCTTGGTTTAATCATGTTGCAAAGTACTTTTGCACGAGACTGTCCCTCTCTGTCCAGCCGGTAAGCAGGTCCTGCTCCTTGTGGAGTCTTTTCATCGTTCTTTCGTTTGCTGATTTTCTTTTCGTGCATCTTGATTGTCTTCTTCATTTGTATTTTCTCCGCATGGCGCTGTGTGTGGTAGAGCTTAGCCTTCAGGCCAATCTTTTTTTTTTTTTTTTTTTGCCTTCTTTGAATGTTCATGAGCCTCTCAACTTTCCTTCTTTCTCTTTTTCTCGTGGTAATCCAAGCGGTACCCATAGCGTTTACAGTGTAATTCAATATATCCATTCTGTGGCATGATGACAGCTGCAGTGCCACCTCGGGAGGCCTCAGGTGTACAAAGAAAAGTCCTAACTTTGGGGTGTTCCAGACGCGTGAGCTGCATCCCAACAATATCATTTCAAGAACAGCATTTTTCCTATGTGCTGTACCTTTTCATGTTTCACATCTATGAACTATTATCCTGAAAATCCAGATTTCTCTGCTTTCTTCGGAATGTTTTGAGTTTCACGCTTGCTCTTTATCTGGTGTAAGTCAGTTTTGCACAAGGACTGGGTTGAGATTAGCTATTGTGTGCGTGTGTTCACTAGGAGGGCTGGAAAGGTCTCTGGCCGTGTAGTGCAGCTCTGAGGAGACAGGGTATTTCCTTCACCTGGTCCACTGTCTCACAGATCTGCATGTCTGTCCTTTTGCCAGAACCGTATTGGTTGATGACTCAAGTTTCATCGTAGTTCTTGAGGTTATCCTAGGTCTTGAGATCATCAGTGTGTGCCCTCCCATTTTGATTTTCTTTTTCAAGATTGTTTTGGCACTGCTAGCCCCTTGGCCTTTCTGTGTAAAAGCTGTGGTGGAAGGCAGCTGTCCCTGCCGTGTGCTCAGCTGTGGCTGGACTGGGCAAGGTGCCCGTCTTCACCCTGCCACACTTCCCCTGTGTCACACTGCTAGGGTCCTGCCTATTCCTGTGGGTCCTGGGGTGGTGCCTGTGCCCGCGCTTCTTCAGGTGCATGCAGGGCCCCTGTCATCCTGCTGTAGGCTCCTGTGGCATCTTTGTCCTGGTCACTGCCCGTACACAGAGAGCGTTTCACTCCCCACATGCCCAGCACTCAGTAATGGACTGCTACTGCTGAAACCTTTCCATCGAGGGAGTTCTGACAGAGTGAAGTTGGCTGTGGGCTGTCAGGAACCCTCTAGCCATCAGAACTCCCGGGAGTAGATACAGTGACTTTGGGGACACAGCCCACTGCAGCCTGCGTGCTGCAAGTTGCACAGGGCCCTACTCTCCCTCTGGCCCTGTCTGCCCCCCTGGCCTCCTCTGAGTCAGACAGCCACAGCCTGGTTTCTGAACCTGGCTCTCAAACACACCTGGCTCCCAGCAGTGCCTTAATCCACTCTTTCCTCCTCCTCACCAGCACCAAGTGGAGGGGGACAGGAGCCGCGACCCAGGGGCTGAATCCCGCGCTGCCTTGCAGGATAGGACGGGGCCGGGCGGGTGCCCAGGAGGAGACCACAGTGACTCTCAGAGAATGCATGAAACAAATGAAAGACTCGAGTGAGCAGGGGAGGACGGAGCGGACCAGGAGCAGAGCTGGGCCGGGGACGGCAGAGAAGGTAGGGAATGGGAGATTTTGAGGCAGAAAGAAAAACATGGACAGTGGCAGTGTGGCTCAGTGGGCGAGTGAGCAAGACCCTGGGCTGGAGGAGGACAGGTTGGCGGGTCTTCACGCGCCTTTGCATTAGAGCTGAAGGTAACACTGGTGCCCGCTGTGTGGCAGGCGCCCTGTCGCAGGTGCTGTGCTGTGTACGCTGCGTACGTTACCAGCTGTAGTCCTTCGCCCTCACACTGACACTTTATCCCAGGGCCGGGGTCACACCTGGGCCTGGTGCACCCGCCCTCCTGGTGACTCCTCTGGTGGGGCCCTCAGGAACAGCCCTCTACCCAGCAAGGCAAGCGCAGTGAGAAGGGGCACCCTACTTGCAGGAAGAGCACCAAGGGGTATGGCCAGAGGGCTCACTGAGAGCAGCACCTGCGCCTGAGCATGGCTGTGTCTGCGCACCCAGCCACACGGACAGCAGCGTGGCCTTCTGGGGCCACAGGGAGCCACAGTCAGGGTGAGGGCGTGGACCTTGGGAGACTCCTGAACCCCTCCTGGGCATCTAAACTAAGCTCAGGCCCTAGGGTGGCATTGGCAGAGCAAGGCCAATGAATTTCGAAGATGCCGAGTCCTCTGCTGTCCCTAAAGACCAACAGTGTGTGGAAATCTTTGCAAGTAGGGCCCGTTTCCGGAAGTCCCTGGCTGCCAACTTTGTTATGCAGTGTCTAGCGTTCCATCTTGCTCTATTCCATGGTATTCCCATCTGGAGATTGAGCGAAGGCCTTTGCACCAAGCCCCAGTCCCGCTCTTTTCTTGTTTCTCTTTTGAGACAGGGTTGTGCTGAATTGCTAACTTGCCTCCTTTGGGCTTGAATTCGTGATACTCCTGGCCTCAGCCCCCAGGGTGCTGGCATAGCAGGCATGCGCCGAGTCTCCGAGTCTCCCGGTGGCCTGAGGTGGAGGAGGCCCTCCAGCCATGTGGGTCCCCAGAGGTGGCCGTGGGACAGGCCCTCACAGCCAGGCCTCGAGACCTGCAGCAGCTTCTGACCTCAGAATTTTCAGTGGAAGAATATCTTAAGTGGAATTTTAAAGCAGCGTTACGTTTTTGTCATTTGAGGGAGGGCTCTGTGAAGTTGCTCTGTGTGCTGGCTGGCCGGTCATTGCAGACTGTGCAGCTACAGTTTTTGCTGACTTGACAGTCAATGTGTGTGAAGTATTTTGTTCATCACGGTCGTCAGAAGAATGGCTGGTGTACTAACCTAATATGTATGAAACTAGTTTCACATACAAACTGATGTTGACATATTAGTTTAACTCACCTTATCTTATTTCCAGGGCAATTGTGGATCTCTTTTTTCTGGTTGAATGAAATTTTGGAGAACATTTTAATCTGAGCAGCTTTGATATGACTCTGAGTTTTTTCCTGACTGTAAATCACAGAGGCAAATCTCAGGTATCTCAGGAGCAGCCTCATGAACTGGCCTCCCCAGTTCGTGGTGTTTGGGGTGCGTGTGCTCCTTAAGCCTTGTAGTGACCTGTTTTACAGAGCTCGGCCTCTTAACTCTTTTTTTTTTTTATTTTTATTTATTTATTTATTTGTGTGTGTGTGTGTGTGTGTGTGTGGCCAGCTCAGCCCACCAGGGGGCGGGGCTGGCTGGCATGTGGTGCTGGGGGATTGAACCGCGGTCCCTGTGTCTGCCAAGCTTGTTCCAAGTAGGTGCCCTAGACCACTGAGCCATCTCACCAGCCCCGCCTCTTAACTCTTAACAGTGCTGCGGCCTAACAAGTTGGTGGGGGCTCCTGGCCTGTGCTAGCACTGACTAGGGGAGGGGTCAGGTTTCACAAGGTGGCTGTGGACTGTAAAAGCAGAAACAAAGTCTGCTGAGTAAATAGAGATTCTCACAGGCCACACAGCACTTTGTCATTTCAGTAAGTGCAAAATATTTTGATAATGCTGGAAATCATTTGCAATCTATAATTCTAGAAGGCTCTGTATTCATTGGGAAGGACATGCTGATTTACTTGGTTTACTGTCCCACTTGAAAATTAATCAGAGTAGGGCGAGGCCAACTCAGATGTGAGCGCTTGCCTGGAAGCGCCAAGCTTAGGCTCAGGGCCCAGCACCACACATGAACACATCAGAATTGAAGGCTTGCTGGAAATGCAGTTTCAGGCTGGCATGCCTCTCTAGAAGTTTTAAGTTTGGCTACAAAATTTTGTGTAATTTTAAAATTAAAAAATTGATTTTATTCAGGATACTTTCTCCTAAAATTTTCAGTTTAGGGAGAGAATCAAGCAGGATCTATCTGTCCAAAGAGCAAAACATTGCAAGAACTAAAAAGGCAAGGGCTAGTGAGATAGCTTAGCAGACTAAGTGCCTGCTTAGGCAAGCACACAGACCAGGGTTTGATCCCTGCTGTGCCGGGCGCACTGAGCCCCAGGGTGCACTGAGCTCCGAGGCACGCTGAATAGCCGTGCGACCCAGCGTGGTGGTGCGCACCTGTGATCTCAGCACTGGGAAGGCTGAAAACAGGAGGATGACCACGAGTCCGAGCTGCATAGGGAGACCCTGTACCAAATTTAAAAAAAGAACTAAAAAGGCAGATTAAAGAGTATGGATTTTGTCAGGTAAAATTTATGTAAACTTATATTAATCATCACTACTTTTTCTTAATGAGCACTTTTGTAGCAAAAACTGTAAGAAAAGGACATGAAAACCCCCATCCTGAATCCTGCAGGTAGACCTACGCGATTGTCCCCTATCACACAGCCTTGACTCAGGGGTTTACCCTCTTCAGATAATTGAATTGTGCATATCCAGTATGGAAAGCCAGCCTCTGTTTCTCTGTATATAAAAACATCTGTATACAAGCTGCGTGAGCCTGGCTTGTAGACAGTAACAAGATGTGAGCCCTTCGCACCCTGCCACAGGCCCCCCGCCCGCGTCTCCCAGCTGCCCAACCCCGTGAGTGCTGAGATAAAAGCCCAAAGAACTTTGTGGCAGCTAAGGCTGAGCCCTTGGTTTAGAAACCAGGCCATGACAATGTGGGGAGCTGCCCGTGCTCCCCAGCACGAAGCTCACCAGAATCCGCAGTGCGCCTCCACCTCCGAGGCCACCATGTACGGAGCCCCAGTTACCAGGGCCACAGGCTTCCAAACACAGGGCCCACCCTGCCTGTCCATGCCCCGCCTTGGCCCCTGCCTCAGTCACCCTCTCCTGGGTTTGGTGCAGGCTCTTCTTCGCTGCTCTCTGTCTTGGTGTGTGACTCTGGTGACCAGAGTGTCTGTGGCAGCCTGTCATGGTGGTACACACCTGTAATCCCTGTGCTCTGGGAGGCAGAGGCAGGAGGACTACAAGTACAAGCCTTGCTTAGGCAAATAAGGGACTTTTTTTTTTTCCAGTACCGGGATTGAACTCAGGACCCTGCACTTGCCAAGCAAGTGCTTATTCTACTGAGCTATCTTCTCAGCCCCCAAATACTTTTGTATGCCCAAGCATTCTGGGTTTTTTTTTAATTTTTAATTTTTTGTGGGGATTTTTGGTTTTTTTGTTTTGTTTTGTTTTGTTTTGTTTTAAGGGAAGGGTCTATAGAGTCTGCAGGGTCTCACTACTAGATCAGATTTACAGTGATCTGCCTGTTTACCGCCTCCCAAGAGCTGGGATTACAGGTGTGTGTCACCACGCCCAGTGTCAATTGCCATCTCAGCGTGCCCCAGGCCCTGCGCCTGCTTGCGGGCACTTTAATCCACTGAGCTATTTGGCTGGCCCAAATAAGGGATTTTGTAAGACCCTTCTCAGAATAACAAATTTTAGAAAGGGGCTGGGGATGGAGCCCAGCATGTAGGTCTGGGACTCAGTCCTAGTTCGGGGTGGGGGGACTGGAACTAGGAGACAACAATGAAGAGGAACTTAACCTTGCCATAAGGTGAACTTTTTAAAATAGATTTTAAGAATATTCAGGGTTTAAGTCAGTGTTAAACTGAGGTCGTTCAGTGCAGCATTCATGCTCTCCTGTGTAGAGATGGGACGGAAGCCTGGACTCTGCATCCAGGGTGGCAGGTGTAGCATCACTGTTGGAGACCTGGGGACCTAACCCAGTTCTGGCCCGGCTGGAAGGAAGCCAGGTCAGTTCCCTTACACAAAGCACAAGAGCAGCTTGGAGGGGTGCCCACAGCTTCCATCTTCTGCAAAAGGTCAGAATCTCAAACTTCTATTCATAAGGCAGTTCACATAAGGTCCCTGGATCAGCTCAAGGGTTCTGGTCACCATGCATCTGGCCAAGAACCTTGAACGTTACTCAATTCACCTGCGTCTCAGTTTCTTCAGCTGAAGATTGGAACAGCAGTAGAGGACTCAGTAACATAGAATATGTGACCAGTCCCTAGCAGTGGGGCATGTATTCAGCCTCTGCCCTCCAGCCCTTGCTGAGCCATCGCCCAGGGCCTCCGCCTGCTGCTCTCCCAGGCCCTGTCTGTCAACCCCTTTCCCACAGGGATGCATCCATGTCCAGGGAGAAGCTGGGTGCTCTCACTTACAGCTGCCTCCTCTCCCTCCCGGGATGCAGGTGTGTGCTGCCAGCCCTGGGCTCCTGGTGTCCTTGAGCCCAGGAATCCCACATTTCAGCTTCTCCTGAATCCCGGGAAATTCTTCAAAACCAAGTCCTGTCGGAGGCGTTTCCCTGTCTTTGTCTTCCTGCCCTCCAATACACAGTAGAGTGAAGTGTGCTCTGTCCCATGTAGTATGTATTGTATGTTGTTGTTGTTTACTTTGCTCCATTTATGTTGTGTCAATCTTTTCTCTCCAAACAGATGCTTTCTTCTCAAGTTGTTTAGAATTTAATTGTGGGAAAGACCAGCCTCCCTAATCAGCCCAGGCCCAGTGGCATTCCCAAATTGTCCTCTGAAGTATCTTTGTAGTCCTCAATTCGGGTTGATCTTCCATGTGAGCAGTTCAAGTCTGGTTAAAGTATCTGGCATAACATTATTTCTAAGTGTAGTTGCCCTGTGCTCCTTATAGACTTGTCAAATTTTATCCTGTAGCTATTTCTGCATTTGAAATTCAGCCAGTTTCCACAGAAGTCCAGGAAGGGGGAGTTGCGAGGTTTGCATGCAAGATTTCATCAAATCCCCCAGCAGTGGTAACGTGGGAGTTTAACCGGACAGCTCTGCCTCTGAGGACGGACAGGTAAGTGAGGGGCTTTTCTCTGGAGGTGGCCGGGGAGGAGGGAGCCTTCACTGAGGGTGGAGAGGAGAACCACAGCAATTGCTGCTGGGGCTGGTTTCCGTCTGGGGTTGTCATGGCTGACTGCATGAGACATTGCAGACTCCAGCAGAACACGGCATCATCGACGCCTGGCATGAAGGCAGGATAGCTTGCCCAGCGCAGATTCAGACAGATACCCCATGGCGTCACTCCTTTCCCCTGCCCTTGTGCCCGCCAAGCCCAGGTACCATTCGCATTGCCACCAAGCTCTCAGGAAGCCAGGTGACACTTTCAGTGATAACGAGAGCAGTGCCAGGATAGGGCTGCCACTGGCCTGCCCTGTGCCTGGCCTTCACTTCCCAGCACCTCACACCGCGTGCGCGTGCACACACACACGTACACACACGTGCATACTCCCATGCACACCCCTCGTGCTCTGAGGGTAGTAGAGGGTTAGGGATCAGGGACTTGGTAGTAACTCCTGAAAGTTTCATTTCTGTCCTAATCCTAAGTAGGCAGAAAGCGTTTGCTAAAATGTTACAGCACTAAGATGAGAAAACTTATTTAAGGAAGTGCTTTATTAAAAAGTTATAGGGCCAGCCACATAGCTCAGCAGATTAAAGCGCCTGCTTAGGCAGGCTCAGGGACCGGGATGAAATCCCCCGTGTGCTGTAATGGCTCGCCCCTGGGGCGTGCTGAGATTTGATCGCAACTGGGCATGGTGGTACCTGCCTATCATCCCAGCGCTTGGAGCCTGGAAACAGGAAGATCACTGAGTCCGATCTGTGTAGTGAGACCTGTAGACCCTGAACCAAATATATTAAAAAATAAAATAAAATAAATTATAGTCAAGTGTATCTTGGAGAAATAAGAGATACTAATAAGTAAAAATTAAGAATCTGAAAATAAGCCATGCTGCACCCTGCTCATCTAGTTGATAATGCCAGCCAAGGCACACTGCAGAGTTAGATTACAGACTTCACAGGCCCCGCTGGCAGAGCCCTCCGCGTACAAGCTCTGCAGCCCTCTGGGGCCCCGCTGCGCAGACGGCGTGCAAGCTCGCGGCCCCGCTGCGCAGAAC